ATCTAATCGGAATTTTTATGGCCCATTCAAACATAAAATTATATGTTGATGTGTGTGGTTGGTTGTATGTTAATGTTGTGTGGCACTTGTCGGTCGAACAAATCTGTAGTTTTTTCGTAGCAAATTAAATCGAGAGAGAAGGGGAGGAGAGAAGAGAGAGAGAGCGCGAGAGGCAGGCAGAGTTTTAAAGAAAGAATGAATACATTTGAAATTTAAAGTCGCTAGTAATAATTTAACGAAGGTGTATAACACGAATATTTTCTTCGTTAAGTTTAATTACCTTAATAAAAAGTTTCGTTAAGAAATATTTTTACATAAAAAAGTTTCGTCAAGTGCTTTGTAATGTAGATAAGTTTCGTTAAGTGAGTTTTTCTCTTTAAAGAAAAGTTTCGTTAAGTGGAATTTCTACATAGAAATGTTTCGTTAAGTGAATTTTCTATGAATGAATCGTTAAGGCCATTTTTATATAGAAATGTTTCGTTAAGTGAGTTTTCTATACAAAAAAGTTTCGTTAAGTTGCTTTTATATACAACAAACCTTCGTTAAGTTAGTATGCTTCATAAAAAGTTTCATTAAGTGTATTTTGTCTACCAAGAAAGTTTCCTTAAGTCGGTTTTGTATAAAAAAACTTTCGTTAAGTGAGTCTTCTATACATAAATGTTTCGTTAAGTGGATTTTGTCTAACAAAAACTTTCGTTAAGTGGATTTTCTATACAGACAAGTTTCGTTAAGTGGATTTTGTCTACCAAAAACTTTCGTTAAGTGGCTTTTCTATACAGAAAAGTTTCGTTAACTAATATTTCTGGTACACAAAGTTTCGTTAAGTGCAGTTTTTTTAAACAACTAGTTGCAATAGACGATTATTCTTCAGAACAAGTTTCTTTAAGTGGATTTTATCCACCAACAAGTTTCGATAAGTGGATTTTTATACAGAAACGTTTCGTTAAGTGGATTTTGTCTACCAAAAAGATTCGTTGTGCGGCTTTTATATACAGAAAAGTTTCGTTAAGTGATATTTATGTACAAAAAGTGTCGTTAAGTAGGTTCTTTCGTTAAGTGGCTTTTTCATACAGAATAGTTTCGTTAAGTGGGTTTTCTCTATAGAAAAGTTTCTTTAAATGGGTTTTGTGTACAAAAAAGTTTCGTTAAGGAGATTTTCTATACAGAAAAGTTAAGTATTTTTTCTTTTAAGAAAAGTTTCGTTAAGTGGAATTTCTACATATAAAAGTTTCGTTAAGTGAATTTTCTATGAATGAATGTATCGTTAATGCGATTGTTTATATAGAAATGTTTCGTTAAGTGAGTTTTCTATACAAAAAAGTTTCGTTAAGTGGCTTTTATATACAAAAAACCTTCGTTAAGTTAGTATTCTTCATAAAAAGTTTCATTAAGTGGATTTTGTCTACCAAAAACTCTCGTTAAGTGGATTTTCTATACAGAAAAGTTTCGTTAAGTGGATTTTGTCTAGCAAAAACTTTCGTTTAGTTAGTTTTCTATACAAAAAAGTTTCGTTAAGTAATATTTCTGTACACAAAGTGTCGTTAAGCGCAGTTTTTTAAACAAAAAGTTTCGTTAGGTGAGTATTCTTCATAAAATTGTTCGTTAAGTGGATTTTCTATACAGAAAATGTTCGTTAAGTGGATTTTGTATAAAGAAAATGTTCGTTAAGTGGATTTTGTATGCAAAAAAAACCTTCGTTAAGTGTGTTTTCTATACAGAAAAGTTTCGTTAAGTAATATTTCTGTACAAAAAGTGTCGTTAAGTGCAGTTTTGTTAAACAAAAAGTTTCGTTAGGTGGATTTTGTCTACCAAAAACCTTCATTGTTCGGCTTTTATATACAGAAACGTTTCGTTAAGTGGGTTTTGTATACAAAAAAACTTTCGTTAAGTGAATTTTCTATACAGAAAAGTTTCGTTAAGTGATATTTCTGTACAAAAAGTGTCGATAAGTAAGTTTTTTTAGACAAAAAGTTTCTTTAAGTTATTGTTCTTCGTAAAAAGATTAACGAATCTTTGGTGGATTTTATCTACCAAAAGTTTCGTTAAGTGGATTTTTCATACAGAAAAGTTTCATTTAGTGGATTTTCTTTACAGAAAAGTTTCGTTAAGTGGGTTTTCTGTACAGACAAGTTTCGTTAAGTAATATTTTTACATAAAAAACTTTCGTCAAATGTTTTTTTATGTAGATAAGTTTGTTAAGTGTTTTTTTGTCTATATAGAAAAGTTTCGTTGAGTGAATTTTTTTTATTTGTAGAAGTGCCGTTAAGTCGATTTTATATATAGACATGTTTCGTTAAGTGAGTTTCTATACAAAAACAAATTCGTTAAGTGACTTTTTCATACATATACCTTTCGTTAAGTATAATTTCAATACAGAAAATATTCGCTAAGTAGAATTTCAATACTGAAATGTTTCGTTAAGTAGAATTTCAGTACAGAAAAGTTTTGTTAAGTGGGTTTTGTATACAAAATCGTTCGTTCAGTGAGTTTTCTATACAGAACATTTTCGTTAAGAGTTTTTTTCATGATAGAAAAGTTTCGTTAAGTGATATTTTTATACAAGAAAGTGTCATTAAGTGGCTCTCCTATATACAAACGTTTCGTTAAGCTGATTTTCTATATTAAAACAATTAATTAAATGGGGTTTTATGTAAAAAAGTTTCGTTAAGTAAAAATTCAGTGCAGAAAAGTTTCGTTAAGTGGGTCTCGTATACCAAAAAGCTTCGATAAGTGAGTTTTCTATAGAGAAATGTTTTGTTAATACAAAAAAGTTTCGGTTAGTGGTTTCGGTGGGTATAGGGGTCTGCTGGTGCAATGCTGTATATAGGTACGCATAGGTGAGTAACCTTATTAGGGCCCGTATGACTGGTGCAGAGCTCCATAAAGGCCCGTATATCTGGTCCAACGCTCTATAGAGGTCCGTAAAGCTGTTGCGAAGCTCTGTAGAGTTCGTTTAGATGGTGCGCAGGCCTATAGAGAGCCGCATAGCTGTGGTCTAAAGAGTAATTTTAAGGCCTTTTAAGGCTTCTATCGCCTAAAAAAGGCATCTTAAGGCATTTAAAGGATTCTATCGCCTAAACAAGGCATTTTAATATTCTGTGGTCTAAAAAGGCATTTTAAGGTCATTAAAGGCTTCTATCGCCTAAAAAAGGCCTTTAAAGACTTCAATCGCCTAAAAAAGGCATTTTAAGGCCTTTAAAGGCTTCTATCGCCTAAAAAAGGCATTTTAAGGCCTTTAAAGACTTCTATTGCCTAAAAAGACATTTTAAGGCCTTTAAAGGCTTCTATCGCCTAAAAAATGCATTTTTATTTTCTGTGGTCTGAAAAGGCATTTTAAGGCCTTTGAAGGCTTCTATCGCCTATAAAGGCATTTTAATTTTCTGTGGTCTAAATAGGCATTTTAAGGCCCTTACAGGCGTTATAGGTTTGTATAGCAGGTACTAAGCTCTTTAGAGGTTCATATAGTTAGACGAGATATACAGATCGCTCGTGAGGAGGCCTGTATTACTGGTGCCGAACTCAATAGAGGTCCTTATAGCTGGTGCGGAGCCCTCTATAGGTTCGTATAGCTGGTCATAACCTCTATTGAGGTACTTTTAGCTGATGAGGAGTTCTATAGAGGTTATTGTAGATAGTGGGTACTACTCAGGCGTAACGAGGAACACTCTTTAGAGGTCCGCATAGAGGTTTTAACGAGCTTTATAGAGCCTTTTTTTGTAAGGAACTCTATGGAGGCACATATAAGAGGTGACAAGAGGTCCGAATAGGTTGTAAAGATTTACAAAGAGACTAGTATAGGTCAGTTAGATTGGCAGAAATGTCTATAGAGGTCGGTCTATGATGTCAGCAGATCTGTAACGAAGGACCTAAAAAAATCCATCCTAAAAGACCTCAGGACTTAAAAATCCCCGCCTAAAGGACCTCAGGACTTAAAAATCCACGCCTAAAGGACCTCAGGATTTAAAAATCCACGCCTAAAGGACCTCAGGACTTACAAATCCACGCCTAAAGGACTTCAGGACTTAAAAATCCACGCCTAAAGGACTTCAGGACTTAAAAATCCACGCCTAAAGGAATTCAGGAATTAAAAATCCACGCCTAAAGGAATTCAGGAATTAAAAATCCACGCCTAAAGGACTTCAGGACTTAAAAAATTCACGCCTAAAGGACTTCAGGACTTAAAAAATTCACGCCTAAAGGACCTCAGGACTTAAAAATCCACGCCTAAAGGACCTCAGGAAAAATTGTTATTTAAAAATCCACGCCTAAAGGACTTCAGGATAATTATTATTACAGCCTTAAAGACCTCAACAACAGTTATTATTTAAAAAATCCACGTCTAAAGATCTCAGCAAAATTTGTACAAAAACATTATTAAAAAATTAATTAAAAACTTGTTTTTGTAAATATTGCTGTTGTAGTTTTTTGGTTGGATTTATTTTCCCTTTTATCAGCACTTTTGGCAAATAATTTCCCCCCACGCCATCTTATCTTTGACTTTGTCTATCAAACATTGTAATCAATTTCTAGACAAAGTATCGAGCCACTAGAAAACTTAACCTTTTACCTTTATCAGCAACAACAGAAATTTCAATATTTACTTAGACGGTAAGTTTCGAAGTTTTTGCTTTTGCATACAAAAACCTGATATTGAAATGTTTGGGATAACGCCTCCAGCCGGTTAGTTGAAATGTGGCATTATCCTTGTAATACAACACTTGACTTGTGAATATGTATCCAGAAAACCAAAAGGTAAATATAATTTTAACACCTTTTGTAACACGAACAACAACAGCAATAATAACAAAAACAATAGTAAGGAAAATAAATAAAAAAGAGGGTATCCTTTGTCAAATATTCGCCATCAAGTCCTTTGTAAATAATAGTAGTCGATGCTATTCTTATTCTCTGTAACTATATTTTTATTTATTTAGGATTGAGGGTTTTTTGTAGGGAGTACCTTAAAGGTTGAAGGGGAGGAGATTAAAATCTTGGGCTGCTCAAAGTCTATCATCAGCAAATGGACCAATATTGGCAATGTGGGCCATAGTTGCAGGAATATTAGTCTGTTCATAATTGCCAACAAAATAGTGCGCCATGGGACCGGAAGCAAAAACACCAACATCATCGGCACCATGTGTTTCTGAGTCCAGGGGTACAGTGGCCATAAAACGATATGAAGGATCCTGAGTATCATATTTGCTCAAGTCGCGACGTCCTGTCTTTGAGGAGAAAGTCTTGGAGTAGCCAGGACCATTGGCATAGGAGAGAATGGTATAGGGTAAGCCATCCGAGGCCTTACCGGGAGCCAATTCGAAAATGTTTTGACGACGGTACTGGAAATAAGAAACAAAAATAAATAAAAAAATTTTAGAAAATATTTGTAGTGACCTACATAAGGTATATTTTTAGGGTCCTTTATGAGACGTGGATTTTTTAAAAAATATTTTTAGGGTCCTTTATAAGGCGTGGATTTTTTAAAAACTATTTTTAGGGTCCCACACAAGGCGTGGATTTTTTAAAAACTATTTTTAGGGTCCCACACAAGGCGTGGATTTTTTAAAAACTATTTTTAGGGTCCCACACAAGGCGTGGATTTTTTAAAAACTATTTTTAGGGTCCCACACAAGGCGTGGATTTTTTAAAAACTATTTTTAGGGTCCCACACAAGGCGTGGATTTTTTAAAAACTATTTTTAGGGTCCCACACAAGGCGTGGATTTTTTAAAAACTATTTTTAGGGTCCCACACAAGGCGTGGATTTTTTAAAAACTATTTTTAGGGTCCCACACAAGGCGTGGATTTTTTAAAAACTATTTTTAGGGTCCCACACAAGGCGTGGATTTTTTAAAAACTATTTTTAGGGTCCCACACAAGGCGTGGATTTTTTAAAAACTATTTTTAGGGTCCCACACAAGGCGTGGATTTTTTAAAAACTATTTTTAGGGTCCCACACAAGGCGTGGATTTTTTAAAAACTATTTTTAGGGTCCCACACAAGGCGTGGATTTTTTAAAAACTATTTTTAGGGTCCCACACAAGGCGTGGATTGTTTAAAAACTATTTTTAGGGTCCCACACAAGGCGTGGATTGTTTAAAAACTATTTTTAGGGTCCCACACAAGGCGTGGATTGTTTAAAAACTATTTTTAGGGTCCCACACAAGATGTGGATTTTTTAAAAACTATTTTTAGGGTCCCACACAAGGCGTGGATTTTTTAAAAACTATTTTTAGGGTCCCACACAAGGCGTGGATTTTTTAAAAACTATTTTTAGGGTCCCACACAAGACGTGGATTTTTTAAAAACTATTTTTAGGGTCCCACACAAGACGTGGATTTTTTAAAAACTATTTTTAGGGTCCCACACAAGACGTGGATTTTTTAAAAACTATTTTTAGGGTCCAAGGCGTGGATTTTTTAAAAACTATTTTTAGGGTCCCACACAAGGCGTGGATTTTTTAAAAACTATTTTTAGGGTCCCACACAAGGCGTGGATTGTTTAAAAACTATTTTTAGGGTCCCACACAAGGCGTGGATTGTTTAAAAACTATTTTTAGGGTCCCACACAAGGCGTGGATTGTTTAAAAACTATTTTTAGGGTCCCACACAAGGCGTGGATTTTTTAAAAACTATTTTTTTAAAAAATTTTAGGCTCCTACCCAAGGCCTGGATTTTTTTAAAAACATTTTCAAGATCAAAACTCACCGGATAACCATTCAGCGACATAGTATGCGAATGATCCGACGTCACCACAATCAGCGTATCCTCTTCACTGGTCATATTTCTTGCCAACTCAACAGCCTTGGCAAACTGCTCCGTATCCTCCAGAGATTTATGGGCCCTCGAATCATGATGAGCCATATCGATACGGGCACCCTCCACAAACAAGAAGTATCCCTTTTCATTTTTACTCAACAGCTCAATGGCCTTTTGGGTCATCAACGACAATGAGGGGTCGGAATTTTCCAAGCGATTCCGTTTCAAATCACCATGATAGGGACAGTGGGAGGGACTAAACAACCCCATAAGATATTCCGTTTTGCTAATATCCACCATTTCCAGACCCTTCTTGGACCATACATATTCAGCGGATTTCTTTTCCGCACGTTTGCCATCCAACCATTCTTTGATTAGATCCCGACGATCACTACGCAAACCGGGTTGGCCTTCTTCATCGTTCATGGTCTTATCACGGAAATTGCGGCGTCCTCCACCGAGTACCACACGTAGCTCCTTACCCACCGGCCATTCCACCAGTTGGCGGGCAATGTCAACATTTATTTCAGGGCTGCAGCCATCTTCGATTATGGCCTCATCATATTCCCAGGCACGGTTGGCAGTGTGGGCATAGACACCAGCCGGTGAGGCATGTGTCACTCGAGCTGTGGTTACCAAACCGGCCCACTTGCCAGCATCCTGCGCCCATTTAGCCAAACTTTCGGTGTGAGTCGAAGTATCGTTGGCCTTGTAGCAATCATATTTGGGCACCTTGGCATTCACACCAATCGTACCATAGTTACCCTTCACACCGCTCAAATATGCCGTGGCCGTTGAGGCTGAATCCGGCGTGCGTTTATCCACAGCATAGGTCTTCGATAATCCGGTATAGGGGAATTTTTCAAATGACACCTGCATACTGCTATCACCCATAAAGTCACGGGTAGCTGTCACAGTGTGTACAGACATACCATCACCCAAGAAGAGAATAATATTCTTGGCCCTTTTGTTGTTCAGCTGATTATAGGTCTGTAGTTTATGGGCCAAAATATTTTGGGCCTTATCTACCCAGAATTGGGTATCCGCCTCCTCAGTGGCCATGGTATATGCCCTTGGGCTGGGGAAATTTGGATGATCAGGATCATGCTCGGCATGGGCAACCGAAGCCAATAGGCAGCACAACGCGAGTACCACTACCACCACGTTAGACCTCATTTTGTCCTGGTCTCTGTCTCGCCGTTCTGGTCAAAATTTTTTAACGTACTAAAGGGGTTTTATTTATTGCTATAAAATTTATACCGTAATTTTTGTTAGCAATTAGAAATCTTATCTTCAATTTGCAGATGCTTGAAAAATTTATTTTTTTTGTCGTGCCCTCTTATCGGTGGTCAGGTATTTTAAAGGCCATATTCATTTGCCGATTATGTCAATCTTTGTGACAAAGAAGACGAAGTGGTTATTTTCTGCCCAAGTAGTGACGTAGTGTTGAAATTTCTTGGAATGGGGTTTTCAGAATTTTGATATCAAGTTTGACAAAATATCTTCTAAAGATCTGAAAAAAAAATTCTGAGAAAAAAAATTCTGGAGGTTAAGATGTAATCAGTGAAAATATTTTTTCGACAACAAAAATATTTTTTTTTAATATCCACGCTTTGTGTAGGACCCTAAAAATATGTTTTAAAAAATCCACGCCTTGTGTAGGACCCTAAAAATATGTTTTAAAAAATCCACGCCTTGTGTAGGACCCTAAAAATATGTTTTAAAAAATCCACGCCTTGTGTAGGACCCTAAAAATATGTTTTAAAAAAATCCACGCCTTGCGTAGGACCCTAAAAATATGTTTTAAAAAAATCCACGCCTTGCGTAGGACCCTAAAAATATGTTTTAAAAAAATCCACGCCTTGTGTAGGACCCTAAAAATATGTTTTAAAAAAATCCACGCCTTGTGTAGGACCCTAAAAATATGTTTTAAAAAAATCCACGCCTTGTGTAGGACCCTAAAAATATGTTTTAAAAAAATCCACGCCTTGTGTAGGACCCTAAAAATATGTTTTAAAAAAATCCACGCCTTGTGTAGGACCCTAAAAATATGTTTTAAAAAAATCCACGCCTTGTGTAGGACCCTAAAATATGTTTTAAAAAAATCCACGCCTTGTGTAGGACCCTAAAAATATGTTTTAAAAAATCCACGCCTTGTGTAGGACCCTAAAAATATGTTTTAAAAAATCCACGCCTTGTGTAGGACCCTAAAAATATGTTTTAAAAAATCCACGCCTTGTGTAGGACCCTAAAAATATGTTTTAAAAAAATCCACGCCTTGTGTAGGACCCTAAAATATGTTTTAAAAAAATCCACGCCTTGTGTAGGACCCTAAAAATATGTTTTAAAAAAATCCACGCCTTGTGTAGGACCCTAAAAATATGTTTTAAAAAAATCCACGCCTTGTGTAGGACCCTAAAAATATGTTTTAAAAAATCCACGCCTTGTGTAGGACCCTAAAAATATGTTTTAAAAAATCCACGCCTTGTGTAGGACCCTAAAAATATGTTTTAAAAAATCCACGCCTTGTGTAGGACCCTAAAAATATGTTTTAAAAAATCCACGCCTTGTGTAGGACCCTAAAAATATGTTTTAAAAAATCCACGCCTTGTGTAGGACCCTAAAAATATGTTTTAAAAAATCCACGCCTTGTGTAGGACCCTAAAAATATGTTTTAAAAAATCCACGCCTTGTGTAGGAGCCTAAAAATATGTTTTAAAAAATCCACGCCTTGTGTAGGAGCCTAAAAATATGTTTTAAAAAATCCACGCCTTGTGTAGGACCCTAAAAATATGTTTTAAAAAATCCACGCCTTGTGTAGGAGCCTAAAAATATGTTTTAAAAAATCCACGCCTTGTGTAGGACCCTAAAAATATGTTTTAAAAAATCCACGCCTTGTGTAGGACCCTAAAAATATGTTTTAAAAAATCCACGCCTTGTGTAGGACCCTAAAAATATGTTTTAAAAAAATCCACGCCTTGTGTAGGACCCTAAAAATATGTTTTAAAAAAATCCACGCCTTGTGTAGGACCCTAAAAATATGTTTTAAAAAAATCCACGCCTTGTGTAGGACCCTAAAAATATGTTTTAAAAAAATCCACGCCTTGTGTAGGACCCTAAAAATTGTTGCGTACCGCCTACTGCGGCTCCTGGTGGGGTTCCAACCAGCTCAGTCGGGGCACCGCTTTAGGGGTGAATTCCCAACCCTACCACCATCAGCCCTAGGGGTCGAACAATCAAGAAGGAAAACGGAAATAGAACAACAAACAACAATACAAAATGACAACACACATACGACCATAACGAGGGAATTTGGTGTCAATTATTCCCGCACTTCGCCCGCCCAACCTTGACCCTTCTCGTCCTCATAAACACTTAATTTTAAAGGGCCCCTGATTCCACACACACTCACCTTACTGCAACATCATCCTATCTTCCTCCCTCACAGAAAACAACTAGCAATTCATATTAATCTAAACATTTACACATAAACAATATTTATTAATTTCATCATTTTTTGATTACTTAAATCTAACATAAACACTTAGTCAATATTCTGAATTCCTAACACCTAATGCTATCGATAAGTCACTGTTTCAGACTACCCACGCAATCTATTGAAACGGCTCCTTCTGGCCACTCTATTATATTATTACCTCACCTAAAAGAGCTCTCTTAAGTCGTTATTGGGGAGATTACCATTTGGTCCCCAAAATAGGCAAATGCAAGTTTCTAATAAGATATTTGGGGTAACCCTACACTTGTCGCATTTGTTAGGCGTTAAAAATTCTCACAATTTAAAATCTTAGATATTAATCACTAAATACTAACACATAACACACTTAATCTAACACTTAAAATTTAGTAAATATATTTTTGTTTGGTTTTTTAAAATTTTTGTCATTTGGTGATTTGCTTGTTTTTAATTTGGTCTTTGATTACTAATTCATTTTTTTCGTTTTACTTTCAGATCTCTCAGGCTATTGGCATTTAAATTTCGACAAAACAATGGTTACCTGGTTTCCAGATACTTATTTTTACAGGATTTTTGGACGGAAAGACACATCAATTTATTGGCCAACTACGTCCAAGCTTGCGTTGACGTGCTGTCTTCATTTTGGGATTAACCGTCTTCCAGCCAACTATTCTACGGCTAAAACCATGCCACATAAATGTTTTGCCGAATAAGCCCCAAAAAAAAATCGGATGACCTCCTCCGTGCAACGACTTGGAGGGGCCAATGTTTGCCTTTTCCGTTGATGAGGATGTTGGCGAGATCTATACAAAACACAAACATTCAAACACATAAAATATTACCGAATTACACTACTTACTTTATTTTGTTCGCTCGCAGGCATAAGGCACTCAACAATAAAAAACAAACACAAGTCTTAACAAATTTTGGGTATTTTTTTGTTTATCTTGGGGATTTTTGTTTTCTTTGTTTTGAAAATTTGTTATAAATTATAGTCTCTCGACCAAACACCAAATAAATTTGATCGAATTTTCCCCCCGTTATGCCTTTTATACCCCCGCAGCCAGATGCCATTTTCCCACTTTTCTGGGATTCTCGCGCATTTTCCGACATTTATCATTTTTCCTTTATCTTACCTCTTGATCCCTACACTCGACAGGGTTGTATTTGCCAGGCCTAAATTTCAGACCAGATGGCAACGCATGAATTTCTCAACCGCTGTACGGAGCTTACTGTATCCGGCTCACTTTTTTCTGGCCGGCAGCAGCAAACACATCATCTCGGATAATTGCTGCCGGTTGTGTTTTTTTTATTTTATTTTTATTTTTATCCAAACAATTATATTCACATGCAACAAAATATGTTTTAAAAAAATCCACGCCTTGTGTAGGACCCTAAAAATATGTTTTAAAAAAATCCACGCCTTGTGTAGGACCCTAAAAATATGTTTTAAAAAAATCCACGCCTTGTGTAGGACCCTAAAAATATGTTTTAAAAAAATCCACGCCTTGTGTAGGACCCTAAAAATATTTTTTTTTTTAAAAAATCCACGCCTTGTGTAGGACCCTAAAAATATTTTTTAAAAAAATCAAGGCATTGTTTTGGACACTAAAAATATGTTTTAAAAAAATCCCCACCTTGTGTAGGACCCTAAAAAATAATGTTTAAAAAAATCCCCACCTTGTTTAGGACCCTAAAAATAATGTTTAAAAAATCCATGCCTTGTGTAGGACCCTTAAAAATAATTTTTAAAAAATCTACGCCTTGTGTAGGACCCTAAAAATATTTTTAAAAAATCCACGCCTTGTGTAGGACCCTTAAAAAATATTTTTAAAAAATCCACGCCTTGTGTAGGACCCTTAAAAATATTTTTAAAAAATCCACGCCTTGTGTAGGACCCTTAAAAATATTTTAAAAAAATCCACGCCTTGTGTAGGACCCTTAAAAATATTTTTAAAAAATCCACGCCTTGTGTAGGACCCTTAAAAAATATTTTTAAAAAATCCACGCCTTGTGTAGGACCCTTAAAAAATATTTTTAAAAAATCCACGCCTTGTGTAGGACCCTTAAAAAATATTTTTAAAAAATCCACGCCTTGTGTAGGACCCTTAAAAAAACTATTTTTAAAAAATCCACGCCTTGTGTAGGACCCTTAAAAAATATTTTTAAAAAACCCACACCTTGTGAGGGTCCATAAAACATATTTTTAAAGAAATTCACGCCCTGTGAGGGTCCTTAAAAATATTTTTAAAAAAATCCACGCCTTGTGTAAGACCTATTAAAATTTTTTTTTTTAAAAAATCCACGCCTTGTGTAGGACCCTAAAAATATTTTTAAAAAAATCCACGTCTGGACCCTAAAAATATTTTTAAAAAATCCACGTCTGGACCCTAAAAATATTTTTAAAAAATCCACGCCTTGTGTAGGACCTAAAAATATTTTTAAAAAAATCCACGCCTTGTGTAGGACCTAAAAATATGTTTTAAAAAATCCACGCCTTGTGTAGGACCCTAAAAAATATTTTTAAAAAATCCACGCCTTGTGTAGGACCCTAAAAATATGTTTTAAAAAATCCACGCCTTGTGTAGGACCCTAAAAATATGTTTTAAAAAATCCACGCCTTGTG